GCGTCCCCTGTCCTTTGGCTTTCCAGCGGCCCCCAAAGTTGACCTCAGCTTATTCAGTCACGCACACACCCGCACATACACGCGCGTACAAATAAGCACGCCTTCCTAAGAATCGGTTACCACGCCACTTCTTTGGTCAACGCAGCAGGGGGCCTTTGCAGGCGACATCCCCCCGGGCAGTTGCAGCACACCAATAACAGAACGCTTGAACCTGGTCCGCAATCCTACTTAAGCAGCTGCCACCACTGTCTCATTCGCTCTCAGGTCTGCCTGGACGCGGTCAACACTAGCTCTGGCTTCGCCAGTGGCCACTGCCGCCTGAGACAGCAACAGGGAGTTCTGTACACAACAAATCTCTCTTATAGGTGACTTCTGTCTTTTACTTTCCATCTGGGATTCGACCTGGTGATTGTAGTGATCTAGGCACAACTACGACCACTACGCAGGTACAAGAAAGAACCTACTCAAAGCAATGCGAAAATCCAAAAACTCCTTACTAGGCTAATATTTACGGGACTTGAGCCAGAAAAGGGAAAAAATCTGTGGACTAACCTGTCGAAGCTGTTCAATATCCTTCGTTACGAGGTTTAGGGCTGATACAACCATCTGACGAGCCTCTGCTGACAGCCCATTCAGGGGAGGCTCTTTCATATTGATTTGTCCACGATTCTTCTTAGAATTTCGTCGGCAAGCCTTTAGATAGGCCCGAATGCGATTTCGATGACGTTTTGACTCTAACTGTGGCCAGGCTTTAGCACAGATGCGTTCAAGCGCGCTGATTGCGTGCCGTGGTTGCTCACAAAACGTAATTGTCCGATCCAGTGTCTCATCAACCAATTTTCGGACGAAGTTCTAGAATAGATGATCTCAGTTTGAACAAGTATCATAGGTATCGCAACGTTCAGAAGAAGAAGAAGAAAGATGCCAACTCCCAGGTTGCAGTTTACTCGACGGAACATGGCCATACTTTTAAGTTTTACGAGGCCGAAATCCTCACAAGAGGTGACAACCGTGTGAGCCGCGAGCTGCTCCAGTCATGGTTCTCAGGCCTCCAGTTCATCAACAAGCGCAACAATTTTGCATTCCCATACTATGTACTGAGAAATGCCTGAGCAAGAGAATCAGTCACGTGGGAAGGGCTGGGCCTAGCAACAAATCTAAGGACAGCGAGCATAATTGTCGCGCAATTACCAAGCCCGCGTCCGACACGGACAAGGAAATCGCGGCAAGTAATGAGTCGAACGCGAATTGTCAAGCCACCACCGCACCAATTAAGACCCAAACGGTAGCTACAGGAGCGGATAATTACAGTACGCACGCGGGTGACCGCTACGAACTATAAATACCGTGCCATTTATGCATGTTTCACCCATATCTACGCATGTTTCAGACTGTTCTACTATTACCTATGATTACGGATTCCCGAGGGAATCCGAAGGGTCAGGATAGTAAAACTCTTGTTCCAGTGGTCGCGTCTTCTTCTTCTGAACTGCTTCCTGGAACTCGCATATTCTTTTCTATTGGCTATCACAAAATTATTTGGAGTTGGTAAGTACTGTTTCTTTAGTCAAAACCCCGAACACCCGTTGTATGGATAACCGGATTATCTTCTCAAATATTTGTTTTTTCTAAAAAGAGATGGCCTTCTGTAAAGTGTGAAGTTCTTTCTTACAATGCAAACTTTTCAGCACTACCCTCAAAATCGTTGGTGTAGTCTGAGGAGCAAACGAAGCAGAAGTAAATTTATCATACCGGAATTTCATCGTGGATAGTATGTAACATGGTAAAAAAACGTAAATCGACGTCGTGAATACAACGGGAAAAATCGTACCGAGAATCAATGGTAGTAATCGGAGACCGCAAATGCTTTTGTTATTGCTGCTTCTGCCGCCACACTTCAATTATTATGGTTGATTACTGAATGAATGGAGCTGAATTAGGGCCAAGCGAAATTTCTGTCTGATTTCGAGAACTCGAATGAGAGAGAGATACGCTTAATTTTAAAAATATCATTCCAAAATTTTCTGGTGAAAAAAGTCCTCCATTCACAAGAAATAAAATTAGACACACAAAATCACCAAACCGAGAAATAAAAAGCAAACCATAATCGTCAATGACTGCAATTGTCGATATCGTGGATAAAAGTCCTTGGAAAATTCGTCAAATATAAACTAACTTGGATTGTTTTCAAAACGGCGCTAGCGTCGCGCAGTGATGACCTTATTGTAGTTCAAATAAACAAAAAATGCATGCAAATTCATTGGAGGGAGATAAAAAGTGGTGACTCAAGTTGAAAAGCCCGCCCAGTTGAATGAACACAGCCCGACGTAAACCCGACAGACGATCTGTGTGGACGCTTTTAATGTGATTTATAGGCCAGACATCCAGAATTGCTGTACGTGAACACTCCATGAAAATTTGCTTGAAGTCAACAGAGCCTTCATAGGCAACGTCCATACCGCAAACTCAATACAGTTAAGTCCTTTATAAGGGACCCCTATACAGTGCTTTTGGCAGCCAAATGTGCATGTAAATCCGATAAGTACTCCGTTTAAAGACCATTTAAGAAACCACAGCACGTGCCATAGAAATGCGCTCCGAAAGGATAACATTGGGTAACAACACCGGCTAAACTTCTGTAATACGCTCAAATGGGGACCACATAGGCTATACGGAAAACCCACGCCACATCAATAATTGTACCTCAGCTCATTTACAGTTTATTTGACAAGAAGCTGGGAGAAGATTGAAGAGGGAATGGGGTAGTCCGGAAAGAAACTTCCTTAACATGGACATGCACTTAATTAACTTAATAAAATAATTAAGTTGGTTTGGCAGATTTGGTTAATTTAGTTGACGACGGTCCAAAGATTGAAAATGTGGCCTTCGCCGAAGCAACC